TATATATATATATGTATATATATTATATGCGTACGATTACTTTTAATTTTTTTATCGAAATCCAACATTTTAATTGCTGTATTAGGTTTAGTTTTTATTATTTGACTCGATTAAAGATGATCACATTAAAAGTCGAAACGCGCGTCTATGTAATTTTATTTTATTAATTTATCATTATATATTCATTAATTTGTGATGCACATGTATTAACATAAAAAAACCAGTTCAACTCTTTTCTCTTTCTTTCTGTATCAGCCTTTTTTACTAACATAGATTATTAATCTTATGATTATAATCATATTATTATATTTTTTTCAATTCTAAGAATTATGATTTTGAGTATTTCTGAATTTTAAGTAATAAATTCAATTCGTAAAAAATGAAAATTTTGAAAAATCAGTAGAGGATTAGAAGAATATGGGATAAGAAATATGGCACAAAGCAAAACTTCGAATGTTAATTTCAAAAGTTTTATTTGTAAATTCTCTTTTCCGCTAACTATTCTAACATGAATAAAATCATGACTATTATGCAAAACACACACAAAATCATTCATATACAAATATTTAAATACAATATATGAATGCCTAAATACATATATAATTGTTGTAATTTTAATTAAACGTACATTAATATTTATTCGAATAATTAACTAAAGTTACTGCTTAATATAAGAACACTAAACAATTATATATAAATTTAAATTAAAAATATTTTAACTGCATATCAATATGACAATATGACAATGACAAATATGTATTCAACATTAAAAAAAAACAATTTTCAGTTTAAGAAATTTTATTGTATGCACAACAAATTGATCAATTTATATAATTATTTATAAATAATAGGCAGTTATTTTTTATCATAAATACAAAGTAGATTTGAACTTTTGCATTTTATGACTTCTTTTTGTTGTAAATAATAAATAGTATATACCTGGCCATCATTACATTATTTTTTTGAGATCTTTGCTATTAAAAGTTAGTATATGTATAACAAAAACTGCTTTCCATTCACACCGATTCTCAGATAATTCTCACTTGTGACGTAATAACTCAGTTGAATGCGCATTCCTTTTGCATTCTGACAAGTGAGATTCAACTGAGTTTTTACCCATAATCTGCACAAGATCGAGACCGCGTGCTTTAGTGAGTCTCGTAAACTCAAAAAGTGAAGTTATGAACCTGTATTGACATGTGACAACTTTTTACCAAGGTAAACAAGTAGTGACGTCATTAATCTGAGTATAAAATACTCAGCTCACTTCAGACTCAGTTTCACTTGTGTGTAAATGGAAAGCAACTAAAATAAGTCCTTGACAAAATTCAATATATATGCCATGATCAGAAAGTTGTAATAGTAAAACGGTCTCACACAGCCGAAATAACTTAATATGTTAAATATCAGCAAATGCTCCGTATAGGAATAGTACGTATATAAGTTGCAGACTTACTATAATACTCGTTAATAGCAGATTCTTGATCATTTTCAACAATAATTTTTAAGTGTTTAAAGTTGAGTGATCAAATTTTCTTAATTTTGTTCGCTCAAATATGACATCACATAACAGTGAAGATATATATAGAATTATATCAATGATTTTTGAAAACATCTTCACTATTGTGCGTGTATAGACACTTTTTATTGAAAATATATTACATACATTTTATTGTATTGGAATTTTCATGTCAAAACGACCTTGGGAAACTGCCATTAACAATAAGTCTGAGATATTCTACATATAAAGAATTCTATATATCTGAGCAACAATTCAATATTAAACTTCGGAAGAACTATACTATTACCTTAAACATCTACATTTAATTTCTTCAAATTAAATTTAACTTTTTATCAGTACAATATTCAGTCTGAGTAGAAAGATGCAACATTATATATATGTAGATCAAAGTTACCCTTTGGTCAAATTCATCTCTCGATCTATCGATGAAATTTCTTGTAAATTGATGAATCGCCTACATATTAAATTCAATCTCTAACTCGAAGACCCCAAATACTGGTTCTTCGAATACCGACTGTTGGCCTCGCTACCGAGCTATAAAGGTACTTGTTAATTTCGGGTTCACGGCAAGTAGCTTGTAATGATTTAAGCACTGATTCCGTCATTAGGCCGAAAACATCTAAATACAATAAACACGGCATAGTAGCTAATCTTATATATGCCGATTGCGGGATGCTGTAACAACGGCTCAGTGATAAGTGCTCGAGCTTCGAAAAGTTTAATAAATTATGAACGGTATGCATTGTAAGCATAGCGCAATCACTCAGGTCTAATTCTATAATATCCGGACATCTTCTTAACAAGTCCTTTACGTCTGAAATTTAGAAAAAAATGTATGTTAAAGTCAATAAATAATCAAAATCCCAATCACTATACTTACTCTCATCAGTCATTGTTTTTCTACAACCCGCTAAGTTCAAGCGTGTAATGGATGTTGGCAATGTTCTGCAAAGTAACGTTATGCCCTCGTTATCCAAAGAACACCATGCTATGTTGAGGGCAGTTAAGCTGAAACAATCCGATCGTATTAAAATTGGGAACTGCATAAACATTACATATAGAAAGAGATTAATAATTTTACCATTTAAGTTCCATTAAATCCATAATACATCCGATGTTTATATTCTCGCACATTGTTAAATTCAAAACTTCTAATTCAGTGTTTTGACTAATCGCTCTACAGCAATCTCTATTTACTATACATTTTTCCAGTGACAATTTTTTCAAACATTTACATTTGGATAATAAAACAGCCAAACCCATTGGTGATATGACCGCCATAGACAAATCCAAATACTGTAATTTACTGATATAAGAATCGCTAAGTACTTGGCTGCCTTCACAAAAGACAGGATCCGCAATTTCCGCCTGTGCCAGTCTTAAAATTTGTACCCCTCGCGGCAATATATGCCCTAATGTGCCTTCATTCAAAACTTTACTACCCATATCTAATCTAGTCCATAATGCTTCATCTTGAGCTATTTGGCACCAACGTTTGCATACTAGCATAGAGCGTACCTGCACACGAAATAATTTATGCAATTGAGACATGTACATAATTTATTAAATTACATTTAATACTGTGTTACTATTCTTACCAAACATTTCTTAGGTAACCATTTCAATATCATCAAAATGATTTCATCTGATAACTTGTTAAACTTATCCTCGCCATAAACGGAAGGTCTTCTTTTTCTCCTAAACAAGCAAAATTGATCTAAACAAGATTGCTCATTTTTTTCGGCAGAAGTGTTAATCTTTTCCTTGGTAAAGCTCTCTTTTAAATCCCCAAAGTAATCAGTTTCCATTCTTGAAGAATAGCCAGATTCATTCTCTGTACTACCAAGTCCAATTAAATCATCTGTATCACATGAATCTTGTTGAACCCTGTAAGAATAATTATATATTTACATATATATATTATATATATAAAAAAGTGTGTGTGTGTGAATAGACATAATTTAAAACCTCCAGTAATTTTTGTTATCACAAACCTGTCTGAAATCGCAATTTCCAAACTAGAACTTGTATAAATCTCTTCTTGATATCCAAAGATATCAGAATCATCGATTACTGATTTATTATTACTAGCTAAATTCTCCGCCAAGATCAGACACTCTTCGGATTGTAGTCTCTTTGTATTTTCACAATTGATTACTCCATCTTCTAACATACTAACGCCCATATCTTCTAGGATTTCAGGTTCAATGAGACTGGCATCTCCAGAATATGGCCACTTTGTACTATTTTCAGAGTGACTGTTGAGAGTATTGTTTAAATTGTTATTACAGCCATTGTCCAAACGTAATCGTTTACTGTGAACAGATATGAAGAATTCTTTTATTACAAAAACAACTTAAATACAAACATACCAATTCAATTGTAAAGGAACAAATTATATATAAACCTGTTCCACCAGGGTGATGATGAAGAAGATGGATCTTTATTCATTATATGTGAACAGATATAGAAGCTCTTATTCTCCAAATTGAAATGATATCAAGTTCTTACAATGAACTGTTATAAAACCAGGCAAATACTGTAGGAAAGGATTAGTATTTGAATTACACATACAAGGTATATTAGGTATTAATCATAAAGATTACAATGCAAAATACTATTAATGTTACATACAAATCGCAAAAAGAATAAATTTGTCTTCTTAAATAAAACAAAAGACATTTGTACATAACAGCAAAGAGAAAATTAAGAGACTCATTTATACATAATCATGCACATAAAAAAGCAAAAGAATATTATTTGAACCAATCCTTGCCAAAGGTCTACCAAAAAAAAATATACATAGTTTTGCTGTTATTTACTTGTTAAGAACACATATTTACTCCAAAAATCTCACAAGTGGTACAAACGTGGAATCCAATTTTACATCTGACAACATCACGAAGATAATTCATTAGAATCACAACCGAAGTTTCTCGAATTCGAAACTCTCCCAAAATACCACGAACATTGAAATTTGTTTGCGAAAATACGGGAAGAAACTTACGACCGACAGCCAAAAACGTGGTGATTTCTCGACAGCAAAATCTCGACTATGAATCGCAGTACATTCGAGCATTCGCTGTGAGGCACAACAAACCCAAGACAGTCGGTCGTAGGATACTTTGAGTGCTATTCAACACTATTCAGAATGTTCCTTGCGACTAGAAAAAGACAACAAAACGCCCCGAGCGTGTTTGGTAACCTTACTTACGAGAGGGCGAGCGAAAGAGCGCGCGCGGGTGTACAGTGTACACCTGCTGTCCTGTTAAAAAAAACCCCCTCCCAAGAGAGCACAGGCAACAGGTAAAGAAGTTGGAGTAGGTACGAGGCCGATCTAGCAGATAACCAAAAGCGACATGACAAGGATAAAGCCTAACCTTTCGGGCAAGGGGGACTCCTCGGATCTCGACGGACGGGACTTGTCCGATTTTTCGTGTAGTCGTGCGTGCTCGATCACAATGCCGGAACTCATCCTTAACGAAAACCACCGCGAGCCAGCCTGGGTATCCTTTCAAGTCTCCGCAAGATACCAGAATCCACTCGTTGAAGCGCGCTCCGTCGGCTCCGTACTGGCAAAACAAATCGCTCCGTAGCGATCCGTCAATCGTCATCCGGTCATCCGTCCCGCGCGCGCGTTATTATCCCGCCGAGCCGGCTCGATGAGATCAGATGAGACGACGCAGATTGGCCGGCCGTCAAAAGGCGGGAACGCGGCGAGATATCGAAACGGCAGGAACGCGCGCCGCGCATGCGCAACGCGCGACAGCAGCGCCGCGCACCGCGCACCTCGATTTCGCGCCTTTTCCACGTTCGACTTCGCTAGCGCGTGACCGCGTCATCGTTAACGTTGGCGGCGGCGTCTTGATTTTCGTGCATGCGCGCCGAATTTGGTTTCATCGATATGCATATCTAGCCGAAAAGGTAAATAAAGATATGAGACATGAAATAGCGTAAACTGCGCCATTTGCATCTAAATAGCAGATGTGGTCAATAAAGATGAGAGAGAGGGATCGTGAAGACGGCTAGAGTCCGATCAAAATTTCGGTTTCAACCGAAATTAAGAGAAAATTTCGATAATAACTTTGATGTGATTTGATTTCTTTAAAAGTTGAGGATGCACACAACACAGACACACGGTATTATATTATATTATTATAGTTAGATATTTTAATGAAATCTTATTTTTTAAAGAGTACATAAATTTGTCATGATTTCTGGAAATCATACGGTCTCTGTCAATTTAATCCAAAAGTGTCAATTTCGACTCCGGCCGAAAAATATGTGACTCCGTTTTAGTTTCTCTCTTTCTCTTTTTTTTTTAGTAACACTTATATCTAAGTTTCGGTTTCGTTTTCAGCCAAAATTGAATGACAACCGAATATTCGTTTTCGGTTTCGACCGGAGGTCAAAATGTGGTTTTGGTTGGACTCTAAAGACAGTCGATTTCTTTCTTTTTCTAATATACTACGATTGGTTCAATAGAAAAAGATTGAAATTCGAGGGGGTAACCACTTAATGTAATCGTGGGACAGAGTCCTCAAAATCATTATAAAATTTATACGAAATTTCTATGTATAATCTGATAATTACGAATGCAACCACGATAAATCATTGTATAATATTAAATAAATTCGTATATTTTACCAAACGACTTCATATGTAGCGAAAAAAATTATTTGTAATCAGATGAAATCATATGATATCATGTAATCTGTGGGACAATATTTCAGCTAGTGGTTACCCCCTCGTTGAAATTAGCTATCTTCGCGTCTTCTTATCTCTCTCATTTTTATTGACCAATTTTACACGAATGGCACAGTTCATCGCGAGGACTGTGTTTAAATTTCCACCCGAATATCACCCAGGTATCACTCTATCCTTGTTGTTTACCGAATATTAAAACAAGAATAATATTAAACAAGAAAAATATTAAACAAGAATAATACCCGAGTGATGGCTAGGGGTAAATTTTATCCCTATAATCCATTTTTTACCAATCAGCTTTTAGTGTCAAAACGTATATTTTTTATCTTTTTCTAAAATTTAAAAGGAGGTAAAGAATAAATTAAATCGAGATTAACGTTAATTTAACTTTGTTAGAAATGGATGTTGAACGTTTAAACCAGCTGAAACTTTAATCCCGATTTACAATAGGTGTGGTAGACCTTTAAACTTTTTAACATGAATTTGCTCTAAGTTCTATTTTAATTTTACAGTTACCCAAGCAGAGCAACAAGTCATTATGATATCAAAATGATGTCAAAACGTCTCCAAAATAATCATTAAAAATCATTTTTTAATAATTTTCGATTCATTTTAACGTCATTTTGACGTTATTGTAACTTGTTGTTCTGCTTGGATAGCATCTTTAAATGGAAACATTACTGTACTCGCTACAAAATATTTGTCAAATATGTAAATTTGTTTGATAAAAACAGTAAACAAATTTGACAATTTTTTGCAAGCCTTTTGCATACCAAAATTTCATACCAAATTTATTTTTCTTCATATATCACTTATAATAAAACACTTTTTGTTATTATCGAAAAAGTTTAAAAATGAATAAATAATCCTATTATATGATAATCGGAATACGCATTTGAATTTATTATAGGATTATAACTAAATTACTATTATTACATAAATTATTGTTAAATATTATATTATACTTCAATAGCGAGTGATAAAATATGAAACAGCTGAAACGATATTGATTTCGAGTTTATTGTTTGAGGCCTTTCAACTTTCGATCCTCGGCGTAAATTTTCATCTGGAAGCTCACCAGGTCGGACGTTCTCTTGTGAAAGTCAAACCGCGCGTCCTTCGGATGTATCCCCTTGTCGTGCCACCAACCGTAACTGAAAATTGTCATAATTAACTGTTGGAGCGGTAGATATCCGAGAAAATCGACGTGCGGATCATTAAGATGCAGGAATTACGTGTGGCTGGTTAATAACGGCAATTGATACAGGTTCCTCGGCTTCCTATCTTGTTCCGTGGCGAGTCTCTCGAGCGTGTCGCTTACGTCCGCATTTCGCACGTCTTCGAGTTCCCTCGAGTAGAATTTCGGCGTGACGAAGTCCGCTGCAATTGATTTGCAACTTCGCGTGCGCATTTATTTCAGATCGTATTACGCTTGGCTCGCAGCTTCGCTTTGCTAAAATCGAGATCGCGCCGACACCGCGTCTTTCTTTTCATTCGCGTTTAATAAACTCGGATAGAAAATGAGCAAGTTCATCATTGAAAAACGATCCACCGCAAGTTAATCCGTAACTGATATGGTTCTTTTTTTATTACATGTAAGGTATTGTGGAGTCATCAGAAACCAATTTATTTTACGCTGAAATAAATACACTAATTGTGAGAGAAAAGTGTTTGGTATTTGTGACAATTGCACGATAAAATAATTATGGTTAGAAGCTTCATTTTTATAATTCAATATTTTAATGTTAATAATAATATATAATTATATTTATATAGTTTTATCAAAAAAAGTATACGTCGTTGACACTGAAAATAACTAATAATTATATTTAAATTGTAAATGTAGTAATAAAACGATATTATTTTTTCTATATCAGTGTATAAATTCGGGATTTTTTTGTAATAATTTTATTGTATTCAGATATTGCATTTAAAAAAGTTAAAAATAACAATATTTTGTCTAAGGAAATAAATGTTTTTTAAAAATTATTTTCAAAAGAAACTAAAAAATTTTTGACTGTTGAATAGTTAATGTCTCCAATTTCGAGGATTTTACTCAGCTAATAGCTGAACAAAATTAGTAACAAACTGAATTCGTTATAATTCCAAGATACCAGTTAAGGATTAATTTCGCGGCAAGACTTTATGGCAGTCTCGTTAATTTTTAATTGGTAGCTCAAATTTGAAACTAACAAAACTGTATAGAGATTATGAATATATTCCCGTTTCTGACACGTGTTATTTTTCGAAATCTGTATTGGTGTCTCAAATCCATCGGATATTCCTTTCACCGTTGTCCTTATCAGAGTAAAATTTAAGAAAATTCTCTGCCATCGACGAGATATGTATATTAACTCGGAAATAGTCATATTTTTACATTCCAGCAATGAAAAAATAAAGCTTAGGCACAGTAATTTTCTTTACTTATCGAAAGTCTAAACTATTTTTTTTTTATTTAATTTTCTACTTACTTTTTTTTAAATATTGAATAAATTTATACACCTAATGATTTCAAATACTGATAAATTGCAGAACAATCAGTAATGTACAATATGTAATTAATAATGGAGTTTTAATTGGGTATAAAAGTCATCCTATTTTTTGAAATAATTTATATACCGTTTGTTTTTGATATGCAAGCGTCGGATTTCCCGATTTGTTGGTTTCGCGAGAAACACAGCTTAAACGGCGGTCTCTCCGACTTCTTCGACGTTACTGGTCTCGAATCGTACGAATCCGTTTGCTGCTCGGACATATTTTCCACGCAACACAATTCTTTCCCAACCGTCGCGTCGCGCTCGCCCCGTTGTCGTCGAGAATACTCAACTGAATCTCGTCTCCGCCTTACGTCGAGTGCCGCGTGCGTGTCTCCGCGACGTGCATGAACCACCGTATTTGATCAATATTGCCTGCGAAATACGCGGTCAGAAATAAGCAAACGGGGGTGACATTCTCCTCCCGAAAATATCACGTTTGCAAGGACAACAATTTAGACGTCATTCCGTCATATTGCTATTTTAGATGGCCGAGAAATCTCCTCCTTTCCTCCTCAAGAAGAAATCTAATAACGAATTCGGTTGGGCACATTAATGCATATTAAAGCTGTTGTGCACTGATTTGATCTGAGTGTCAAAGTAAAATGTAAATATTTTCGCAATAAAATTATTTGAAAATTTTAAATTCTCATTAGCAGTGTAAGGAAAGAATAACAGAAGTGCCTTGATAAAAAAATTTAACATTATAATATTTTTAAGAATTTTGTTATATTTCAAATTTATGAAGATTTCCAAAAAAATACCTTAAACTTTTTCAGAAGTTTTCTTCAGAATCTATAAAATAAGAAATCTTAGAAATCTTAAAATATATTTCACATACATATATATTAATTTTAGAAAAGATGTAAATTTTTTCAGCACTCTGAAAATTGTCCCGATAAAATTGTTTGTATAAAAACATCTAAAAGCGTTTCTAAAAAGTTATACAAATATACAGAAATTTAAAAAAATTCTGAACTTTTTACGTAAAAATTCTGAAAAATTAAAAAAAAATTTCACCATAACGTAAATAACAAAACGAAATTTCTATGAGAACCATTGAAGCAGAAAATAAAAGAAGCGTTTTACGAGATATAAATGCTTTTTTCTATGTTTTGTTGTTCCAATCTTCCTAGAAGTTTCGTTTACGCTTCTGTTATTTTCACTTTACATTCGACTTATACGCTCCGATTTTTATTTTTGTTAGAAATTGGAAGAGAATGGGTTTTGTAGGATAACAAGATCGAGACAATTTTTCCATGTTTGCCTCTCTCTTTATTTTCGACTTTTTCTCCCCGTTAATAATTCATATATTCCAATAAAGTATATGTACGGCTAATAGTAATTATAATCTGGCGCAACGATATTACAAATCTCTCTCGACTCTAACTCTCTCTTCGTTTTCCTCTTATCGACTTTGGCGCTTCTCTATCTCCTTATCGCCATTAATACCATGCTATCTCTTCACGCTTGCCTGCCGATTAAATAATTACATATCAACGAATGAAGCTCCCGAGAGAAGAAGCGGCCGTTTTCGGAAAACGAAAATATCCCCCGCTCTTTTATTCTCTTTCCCGACGAAGAATTTCTCGATCTCACTCACACATACACACGCAAATCTTCTTCTCTTTTTTTTTCTCTTTCAGTCTATCTTGTATTTGTCGCGTTCGTTACCTCGTGTAATACAAAAAGCACCCCCCTCAGAATCTTCAGTTATACTTGCATTAATTATAGGACGTTTACAGCCTTCGTTACATTCTTACCGCGCGATCTATATACGTGATAATCGTGTCTAAGCAGATTCACTTCACAGCTTCGTAATGCTTCGTAAAATTCTTAGAAATCAGCCGTTGACATAACGTTAACACTATCTCGATTTGTCCACGTTATCGTCGAGTCTCACTTTTCAGTGAGTGTCAGATTTTTGCACTTCTATCCTCAAAGAGGCGGAACCGATCGTCGCCTTGTCGTCATTTCATAGTGACAATATATTAACACTTTGATTGCCATGCTGATTTCGGCATTGAGCTTAATAAATCTATAGTGTATCATTTTAACACTTTATTGTTTTCTTCACTTTAATTAATTATAATTTATATTATATTTCTTTAATATTTTATATATATTCACCTATAAATATTATATAGGTCACTACATCGATACAGTGGTCCATATTTTTTACGAATGAGTATATTTAATAAAATTATTCTTAACTTTTAAAGGACGATAAGGATCTATTTTTAAAACGTCAGTTTTTTCTTGCGTAAGATTTGACATAATTCATTATTTCTCGTCCCAAAACATGATATTGTTTCAGTGCCATTATAGTGGCTTTTCTCTCATCTTGTAAAAGTTAAAAGTTAATCGGATGAACAAAATGATAATTAAGATAAATAAAATCATTATCTTATTCATCCCCCCCCTCCTCCTGATTAAGAATAATTTTACTAAATTAAATACTATATATTTTCTTGGCTCCAAGAATAAATCACGAACCACTCAAAATTGCCAATAAAAGTAATAAATGATGAAACTCTTGCGAATTTGATGTGTCACCTGGATATGGATGATATGGCAATCAAAGTTATGTCAATGTTAACACGATGTTGTATTCCTTGCCTCAGCTATTATGAATTATTAATACGGACATACCGACATAGCGTATCGTCCGCGCCGTTGCGTAATCGAAAAATACATAGAGGTTCGAGGATCGCCGTGACGACATACAAACCGCGTAACTGCAATTAAATATCGGAAAAGGTCAACAAGGTAGATTCTTATGTGATTCCGGACTTGATTGATATACACGCACGCAAACATACAGGACGAATTTTCTTAAAACTCTATCACGAAAAGAACGTCCTCGAGTCCTTATAGAAAAATACTTGGGGCCTTCTCAAAGATATCGAATTTTAAGCCTCTCGATTGTTTTGCTACGCAGAAAGCATGTTGCAATCGGCAGTGCATTCGTCGGAATCGGAAAGCGAATTCACCTTCGCCGATTTCCGCTTCTTTTTCGTCCCTGTGATTTATTATCCATTTGTATCCAATTCGCGCTTAGTATCCTGACATAATATTTTTCTATAGGATATAACCGGTTCGAAAGTATCCTTTAGCTTTCAATGGAGCTTTTCGTTGTCGAATGAGGCTAGTAAAATACGATCGCGACTTTTCGTTCGAAGGCGGGGCGGGAGATAAATCGATATCGTTTTCTTTTGTAGAGGAAACGATTCGACGCTTCAGTAACTACAAATCGATCAGATGTACTGTCGAATCTCCGTATTCTTAGTAAATTTCGCAACTTTCCTATTTTTAATTGCTTTTCTAATTATATTCTAATAATTTTAAACGCGAAACAAAATAGTATATTAGCGATTAATTCGGAATGAGAAAGTGAACGAAAAACGAGATAAATCTCGTGGAGAAATCGAATAGTATACGAGAAAAGAAATTAAGTTTGTGGAAATTCGATTGTTTAACACTTTTAATCCTTAAAAGGCCGCAAGATTTTTTTTAAATCACAAAATTACATATATTTAATAATAGTATCCATAAAGATCGACTCAGCGAATAAAAAATTTCCATTACTGTAATAAATAAACAAATGAGTCAAACAAAATTTTAACGCTCATAGATAATTATATATTTTCTCATATAAAATAAATATTAATTAAATATTGAACAATATTTCCTAATTTCTATATATTTAAGATATAATAGGATGCAAAATATAACATTGATTTCGTGATGTCAGAACGTCTCGTAAACTATAAAAGTTAAGAATAGCAGCGAAGACCAGAATATAGAGGTCCAACTGTATTTCTGTCGATTGCCTTCGTCGATTGCGTAGAGTGCTTCATAAAAAGTGTAAAAAGCATCGGCGATCGCTCAGGGTAGAACTACTCTGGTGAAAATTGTTCTTAAAATTCTTCATATAAAATTTTTCAGAATTTTTAAGTAAATTTCAGAACTTCTATATAATTGTATAATCTTCTAAAAAATTTCTCAAATTTTTTTATATGAAAATGGAATACTTTTTACAAGAAATTGTCTACATCTAGTAGAATTCTTCATACATGTGAATTCTGAAATATCCTAGAACTTCTTCTAAGATTTCATATATATTCTATAATTTTTTTTTAAAATTTATAAAATTTGAAAAAATTTTTTCAGAAACCTTTATAAGTTGAAAATATGACAAATTCTTAAAAATATTACGAGATATTATGAGAATTTTTTTCACCAGGGTAAACTTGAAAAGAAAGAGTGTAACCATTTGGAAGATATGTCCGTTTTTGACAACACGACGAACCGTCAAGGTTTCTTACACTCGTTAGGAGGCTACATCCCGCCTGTACTTTTTTTTAACACGAAGGTTAAAGGGCTGCAATTTGTACTCGTTTATACGCTTGTGGCCGACTTGAACGTCGACGCGCAAGGACGGCGTGCACGTATGAAATTAAATAACGATCTCGTGATGGTCTCCTGGTTCCCCGGAACCGCGGCCATGTCGAAATGCACATCCCATGCCGGAAATCCCGTCGAGAAGCGCTTTAAGACCAACGCGAGCGTAACAACCCTCTGACGTCTCCCGCATTCTTTCGACGAACCCCTAGATTTTTTTTTTTTTTTTTTTTTTTTTTAGTTAAGTATATAATTCAGCTACTCTCTAATTAATTCGTTCGACATGGACACGATTTTACACAAATCTTCAACATTTTGACTAAGGGCTTCTCCTCTAATAATAAGTTAATTTGATACGTATTTGCGAATGAGATCATGAGACGTTAACGTTCTCGGAATATTAAAATCCGGTTTTCATGTTCCAATGGAGTATCAATATATGTATATCTTGTTCTCGAAACTGTTGCCTTTCACAGCTCGTTTTGCGTGTTATTTATCAATATCAATGAAATCGGGCTTCCGAAAGTTAATATCAACATTCCAGTCGCATGCTCGCCTGTGCATCATTCAATAACCGTGATTTCTCTGCAATTAAAATATAATGAACCTCACCGATTCTAATCAAGTCAACGATTGCAAAACAATGGCGCGGATATGCCAGGCAAATCGAGAGAAAATAAATGTGATGTCGAGATATATGCGTGAATATATTTATATGTGTGTGTTTCTTTAGAGAAATTTAATACTGTAAGTATCAAATTGGTTGGTGATTAATTACTTATTTGAGCATTAAAAGCACAACAGTGCGTTTAATACTCAAAATAAGTAATTAATCACTACACTGAAAAAATGTACTGAACTTTAATAAATATCTGTTTTAATAATACTAAATTATTTACTACTTGTAAACGTATATTTATTTAGTACAAAAATCTTTAATTTGATTTAACTGTAATTTTTATTGAGTAAATATTTATTTACTGTAAATGTTTAGTATTATTGAAAAAAAATATAATATATAACTGAATAAAGATCCAAGAAATAACTCAAAAACTTAAAATAAGTCAATGTGAGCCGGCACAAGACATTTTTTTTTTAATGTGTAAAATATATATTCATAAAAAAATTACAAATAAATTAAACGTTTTAGTTCTGTTTTTTTTATCCTTACAATAAATAAAAATTAAGGTTATATATTATTATGTGATAAATAAACTAAAACAATATACAAACGTTTCGACCACTTTATTAATTGTAAAATCATATATATATTATTGAGGTGTACAATCGTGAAACTAAAAAACAAACTACGAATATCTTCAGTATAACAGAATACTTGAAGGTGTCCAAATAAAAATTGGTAATAGAATCAAGATGAACATCCAGATAAAAATAAATTTAATGTAATATGATGAATATCCAGTATAACAAAAATGACAAGTGTAATGTGCGAGATGTTGTGAGATGTTATGAAAAATACATTAAGATTTAATCAATTTTTTTCATATTGTAACCTATTCAATACTTATAGTATTAAATTTCTGTAAGGTTTGTCCCATACAGCACAGAATTTGCAGTGATATTGCTGTAACATACAATTTTTGTGCTGTAGTGTGTGTGTGTGTGTGTGTGTGTGTGTGTGTGTGTGTGTGTGTGTGTGTGTGTGTGTGTGTGTGTAGGAAAGAATGTAATAAAATGTCTTAATATTTCACTTAAAAAATATACATTTTAATGATCAATCGTGTGAGGAATTAATGACAAATCAGATTTTTATCAAATCACACCATTGCAGGTCTGCAATCAGATTTGTGGACCGAATGTTCGAGTCGTTAGAATTGTCGCACGTGGATCGAATTAAAAATCGCATCACGAGCGTTTCCTTTCGCTCCCTCGGACGATCGTACGCGTTGATCGAATCGCAAAGTGATTAACATGTCTTGTTTACAGGTATAAGGTATTTTTGTACGTTCGTAATCCAGTCTCAACATTTACATGTTTCTCGCGCTAGGCTACTAACGCGCGCCACTTAAAATACGGATAAAAGTACGTACGAGAAATTAGCGCCTCACGTGCTCACGACGTACCTTTTTTTTTTTTAGAATCTGATAACATCGCTCATTTGCATACTCAAACGTCGAAAAGCTGTCGACAGATGTTCCAAACCAAAATTAAACGATTCGTATGATTAATCTTCTTGCAATAAAATCAGAAAGATATCTTGCGGGGTTTGATTATATTTAATATTTTTCCTTTACAGAAAAAAGCGTAAATATTTTTGTATAATAAAGTTTTCAAAATTGTACGTGAGCACGTTGTTAAATGGACTTCAGCCCTTGTTCTCGAACGTTTTCTCTCTCTCTCTCTCTCTCTCTTTCTCTCGCTCACACTCTCTCTTTCTCTCTCTTTTACTCTTTCACAAAACTGAAGAGCGACTTCGGTTTACAAAATCACTAATACTAAGCAGTAAGATATCGCACCAAACGCAAGGAATAAAAGAGAGGCCATCGTATCCCCCGACGTTTCTCCCGGATATTTTTAATCAGAATCTGAAGAGAAATGGTCCCGGGAATGCGATACGACCGCTCCCTTCTTTCTTCGCAATCAAGCTCCGTCTCCTCAACCGTGTCAAAAAAATATATCGTATATGTTCTACATATAAGTGGGTATGAAAAATAAAAAATATTTTTTGGCCATTTTTCTCGTTTTATAACAATTTTTTTTTGGACGCATGGAAGTAAGGATAGTGACGCAGGAAAAAGGAGAAGGAAGAGGGAGAGAGGATCTGTGCAGGACCCGGTGGGAGGTTGATTCGGAGAGGAATGTTTCAATTTCGAGGGGGGGGGGGGGGGGGAGGACGGATGAGAAAGGAATGGTGCCAGGTTAGAAGGCCGTGAAAATATGAGGGAGGTACGTTGTGTTTTGTAGGGGAAGGGAGGGAAGATTGTTAGAGTGAAAACCGGGGAGCACTACCTATCGATCTAGTTCTTTTAGGATATAGGCACTATAGCTACGAGATAAATCTTATTTACACATTCTCCAGTTTTTTCTTGCTGTGTCACCGCTCGATATACCTACTACGATTACAAGAATAAGAAAAGTGATGGAAAATCAGCTCTTGTCAAGCCGCACACTCTTTTTTTTTTACATCCCAACAGAACGTTTTCATCGAAATCAAAGACCGCCGGTGACATATTTTCGAGCGTAATATCTCTCTTATTTCTCTCCCGTGAAGAGGATGGCACTCGTCGCTCGCTTGATGATGCAAAGCTTCTTTTTTTTTTAAAAAAAAAGAAAGACGCGCCTCCTTTGTGAAGATATGTGTCAACCGCGCGGATACTACCTTGATAAGCGGATTTCACGACGGGACAAAACCCGACGAAGAGTGTGCGAGTAGAAGATGAGAGGAACGGGATGCGTACCACTTAAAATATATATGTATATATATATGTATATATATATGTATATATATATATATATATATATATATATGACACATGACGATTATTTTTTATTCTTTTTTTCGCGCTTTTTTTTCTTGAAAAAGTGTAACGAAAATTCTCCGCTCTTCTCGCATCGTGATTCGTTCCTCGTAGATTTTTACCGCGCCACAGCGTTGGCACGACGCGAAAAAAAACACCAACGTCTCTCATAGACCCTCTTAACGGTTACATTCTCTCTCGTTAACTGCCACTCGGCAAAAGGATTTACAACGCTTACTGTGTATTATAGGGAAGAAAATGAGAATGATGATGTCCGCGTTTCGCATGTACAATCGACCGCTGCGCTATACCGAAATCCAATGTTATGGTCCAGCCACTGCACAAGAAGCATTATCACAATTCCAATCTTCGGCGATCGAAAACAATTACCGTTGGCAGCTCTAACTCTCGTAAAATGGGCAAACGAAAGCATCAGGTCGAGCCGTTCCCGAAACGGTACAATGTGGAGATGAGCGTGTAAAAGGATAAAAATAAACAATCTGACAATCGGTCGGTATGACTCAGCGGTACCTTACGCTACGTCTTACGATAAGGTGTTGGGTTTTCTCTTAAAGCTAGCAATTAGTTTCCTCCACATGCTCTCCTTTTCACGCTTGCAAAAACACACGCGCACACACATTCTCACATCATACACACGTGTACACATACACTTATACTCACACTCTATTATACAATCTTAAACTCGTTACGCTTACAGATCTGTGTATTATGGCCATTTGTATATTTTTTTCTTTTCCTTTTATATTTTTTTTTCCATACAAACACACACTTCCTCACTTTCATATCCTCTTATAATATATGTTCTTTTTCTTTTCTTTTTTTTTTAAGAAAAAGAAAGAGCATTCACATTCGAGCCTATATTGATACTTTACCAAAACGCACGATCGACACAAGAAAAATTCTTTCGTTTCAGAACCCAATAGAAGAGATAATAAACAATTTTGTAGCTTTTTCAAGCGGTACATGCTTAATTGCTTAATGTGTAAAATGGATTACACTGTATGAAACTTCGCGCAAGACAAATTAAAAAAGACAAGCAGGAAAATAAGCTTTTTTTTTTATGGTAGAAAGATAATTTTGTGTTATACAGCTTAAGGAATGACGCAAAAAGTTGTTCAACCTTGCGCAAAGAGGCCGATAAATATATTAATCTTCCAATATTTTCTCTTAAGAGAGCTCACATTATATATATTGCTTTCCGTATCTCTACACATCATAACTTTTTTTTTATTTACACGGATTCTCATATATATAATCTCATCCACGCGCGCTATAAACTCTAAATCTTTATCTTACCGGTACTTACAAAATACAAAGAAGACAGAGGTTGACAAAAGCCATATCCGCCATGTCCTATAGCAAGCGAATGACTCTCTAAGAAAGTTTCCAATGATGCAATTACAATGTACAAACGCATGTTATGCTCTCGCAGCCCTCCGGAGTTACACGTTTCTACTAAGGACGATACCGGAATCCTAAAGTAAATGCCAATACAACCCCAACGTTAATTCCAGAGGGACCGCATTCTGTAAATCTTACAGATAAGCTTCTTCGCATTCTCTCTCCATCTTCATCGCTTTCAAATTGTACGAGTATAGAATAACGTGCGCAGCGGGTCTCCCAGCTGCCCTGAGTAAAATCTGTCTACCGCATCAAGATGTGAATGAAAGAAGTTTTTTCTCATATACTTTTTTTTCTTTTTGATCTAAAACACACGATAAAGTAAGAAAGAAGTATATCGATAATTTATTTTTACTCGAACCAAACTGCTTTGTAGATTCGTGCATAATAATAGAACAAAGTTTATAGAAAAGACAAAATATAATAATTTGTACGAAGATATAAAGCATTATCGTGGGTGGGTTGACATTAAAACAATTTTTGGTCGATAAAACTCTACAAAACGCATTTAACACATAAATCAATAAACGATATCCCGTAATTTAACAACTGAGAAATTTTAAACAAACTAGCCATTTTCTCTTTTTGATCCAATTTTGTAACTTCTAATCATTCAAATGTTGCTTTGAAATCTGCCGACTTATGATCTATCGCGTTTCTATTAATCTAACATGAGCAAACAAATCTGCACCTGTGGGCCGAGATACGCTCACCCCTGTTTGCTCCGATTCGAGAATATATTACAGCTCGAACATATGTGAAACAATATCAAAAAAGCAGTAAGAGGAACATCTTTTTCGCCTTACGTCGGTTGCGTCTGTCGATCGTTTTCTGTTCTTCTTTTTCGAATTTAAAGAATTCAGCAAACAAAAAAAATTAAAAATAATATTTACGTAATAGGACATTCGTGCGTTCAGCAGCGCACGAACTATCACGATCACGAGGGTCTTTACTTTCCTTCTCTTCCTCTTCTTCTTCTTTCCTTCCAGACTCTGTCTATACACAAACGCGCGCATGTGTCTTAACATACACACTACTACGCAAAAAAATAAGACCGTGTCAACTGACACATCAACGTACTGTTCCGAATCATGCTCGGGATGCTTATCCACAATGTTGATTCACTTGCACAACACGATGTCAAACGTGCGAATGAACGAAATATTCAAATGTATATCAGTATGTATGTAAATTCATATTCGTATCTGCGAATGATGATACAATGTTCGATGCGCGTGTTGTGTAGCTATCTCTGTACAATATGCAACATACGACTGCATGAATAATTACACGCAGCGCGATTAACAGCGTTTGATGAGAAATCAGACTTGCTTTTATTTCCATGAAATATGAGAAAAGAATTACTCGCGCGCGAAGGCGCAACGTCGATGATTGAAGTCAAACTGTGGTATATTATCTTTCCTCTTGCTTCGATTATGATAAATATCGCCTTTGTACCGCAGCAGGGTACACTTCAATGCGTTTACAGCGCATATACTATTATATTACGATTATGATTTACATTCTAAACAAAAATCTCTATACAAATCCATTATGTTATACTTTACATTTTTCTTCAAACATTTTTTTTTTAATAGTTACATTATTTAAAGTCATAACTATCGCGTTATCAATTAATATATAATTAATTTTAAGAGTAAAGAAATCTTATATTTGGAAATAAAAACAATCTGGTTATCATCCAACTGCCTGTTAAAAGGAAAGGTTTAAAACAAAAGAAGCTTAGGACTATCGAAAAAAAGAAGATAACGACAATATTCTGTTCGATTATTTTCGCGGCGAATACTTTTCGATTATTATCGCTGTCGTCACTATCGTAAATGATTGAGCCTGTTCTCATTATCCGCGCAGAATCAGAGACTCGACTTACATGCTACGTTAGCTTCCTAAGCCATTGGAAAAGGTATTGTACATCGTTTGCGTTTTCACGTAGCTACAAAGAGACAAGTGATACTGTAGCGAGAAAAAGTGATCGGTTCTACAGCGACCTCTCAGCCACTCGGAGACGCAATTACCGCTTTGCCGGTTTGACGTTCGAGCAGATCTGAGCGTGCCTTCAAACGGCGTTGCATCAGACGACTCTCGGTCGGCGGTGATAGCCCAAACCAATTCTGCAGCGAGTCCTTACCGATGACGCGATTCTTTCCGATGATCTTGGGGTCGTTCAAATCAACGCTGGAGCGTACTGAACAGGATTTTGGTCGCGTGCCGTCAAACTCGCTGGATGAATGCGTCGTCAAGTGCTTGCTGTTCTCGGATAATTCGCTGCTGGAGTCGGACATGTGACCGTACGGATGATTATCGTCATCGGTCGACGACGTGGACAGTCTGGGCTCTCGGTTCTCCGCCAGCTCCTCGAGATTTAGAGAAAAATGCTGAAGTACCACGCGATTCACAGCCATTGCGGACTCAGCGAACGCTGAGAGTTCTCTAGCGGAGTTGTTCCTCCTGAAGGTAAACATAAGGAACGTGTTATATGCAATAATAAAAAAAAAACGTGAAAGAAGTAACCATACACTCAGGTAGATATTCACCTTATGATATGAGGCGTGGTAAGTGATCGATCACCAGTTTCGACGGAAGTCGGCCCGGGATTAATCCAGGGATGTTTCAAAATACTATCGGCGCTGAGCCTCTGGTGGGCCTCCTTAACGAGCAAGCCTCTGATCAAATCTTTCGCGTCCTCGGAGATGCATCTCCACTCCTTGTCGGGAAACTCGTATCTGCCCTCCTGAATACTGGTGAAGAGCAACTCTTGACAGGCCTGACAATTTTCTCCCCTACTCCAACCACAATCGGTGCCGCAGTTTCCATAGAAGGGCGGATAACCGCAGAGCAGAATGTACATAATAACACCGAGACTCCAGAGATCGCAACGTTTGTCGTAATAATTGGCCTCGCCGATGAAAGCCTCGACCACTTCCGGCGCCATAAACTCGGCGCTGCCCACCGGTGTCAAAAGTTGCGGCGTTGCCACAGGACTAGACAGCGAGTTGTTGAACTTGATACCCGATCCAAGATCGAAGTCACATACCTTGATTGGCGTCAACTTGTCCGGATATACGCACAGGAGATTCTCGGGCTTGAGATCTCTATGAGCAATACCTGAACACACAACAAAATATACAAGATATAAATTGTGACCAATTCCTAATGATTCTTATCGGGTGACGCATTCATCTGAGAGCGGTAAACTCGTAAGTGATTGATTTTGAATTGATTCTGATACCCTTCTATATATACTTCGGTTTACAAGAGGTTAATTGAAGAATTAAAGGTTATGAAAGAGAGAAAGTATTAAAAAGAATATAAAGAGAGTGAATTGTATCCTGTTTCGAGAATAACAAACTATATATATATATATATA